ATAATTAAAAATAGTAATAAAGATGTATAAAATTATATTCATGATAATAATTTTTCTTTATTCTTCAATCTAATATTATTTTTGATAGTTTATTACGCTTTATTTATTATATGCATCAATTTTCAATTTTTCTTCTTTTCTATTCTAAAAATATTATAAATCTAAAAATATTTTTAATATATATATATATTAAATTATATACTCATTTAAAATTAAATATTTTTGGTATTATTTATTTAAATTATTATGTTTTTCATATTATAATTTTGTAACTTAGTTTTTAAACAATTAAAAATTAAAACTGAGATAATATTCAAAATCTATTTTCAAAATTTAATTATATTTCATTCATTCCATTCTTCATTATTCATTTTCTTATTATTCTTATTCGAATTATCATATTTGTTTTTAAAATTTTCAAAAATCAATTTTATCCTGAAAGTAACAATTTTTTAATTTCTAATTTAAAAAATTAATTAAATAGATTCCAATTAATGTAAATATTTTAGAATGTGAATTTCAATACTGAAAAATTAATTTAATAAAATAAATAATTTTCTACATATAAATGAATCTTAATGTGTTTTAAATATTTTATTGATAATAGAATAGAAAATGTAAAAAATATATGCTGAAAATACATTTCACTGAAAATGTATAAAGACAGATTCGTATTAAAAAAATAAACGCGACAATATGAAAAAAAAAAATAGAAATAATAACTTGTTTGTTTTCAAAAATTTCAATTATTAAGTTAAATAATTAAATAATGAATGTTCAATTATTAAAATAACAATATAACATTTTCTTCTAATATTTTTCGAATATATATTAATTATAATTAAGATTAATTGAAAGCTATTTTTTATACGAATATCGTGTAGTTAAAATCATTTTAATATTTCATCACATTTACGCAGAATTTAAAGAATCTTGTAAACTTAAAAAAAACTATTTAGGGATCGAACCACGTGGATTGATATGAATCGATTTTACGTCTATTGGTAGACTTTGAGAAAAGTAGAAGCTCAATGGAGTTCTAAATATTTGTCTGCTTGAAATTCAAGCGTACGCGGAGCTAAAAGAAAGGCAGCAGCTCGCTTCCGGCATTCTAGCGGAATTCCAAACCAAGGTTTTGTCATAATATTCGGGTCATGGTGGATCTTGGAGCATGGAAAATATGTTGCTTCTTATTCAAGAATTCGCGAAAACCAACCGTTATGTTGTTCACGATTTAAATCAGTTATTTGTGCTTATGTTTGATAAAAGAAAATGAGCGAAATAATTTTTTTCATAGTCGTAAATGATAATATCCTCCATAAAATTGAGTTTGACTTATTCTATCTTCTTTCAGAGTTTCATTCTTTTTCTGTCAATATTTGTTGAAACTGTATTGGATATAGAAACAAATATTTGATATTGTATAAAATAAAATTATTATTTTTTATTAAAGAGAGAATTATTTCATGAATTTAGTGAATTCATCAATTATATATATATATGTAAATAAATCTACATACGTATATTGTATATATGTACTGTATGTTTATTTCACCTATCAATTTAATAATTTCTGAATATGCAAAACATTGAAATAAATATTGTACAAATATCTAGTTTAATAATCATTTATAATTTAATCATTCTACTTTTTTCCTAAAAATTTTATTTCTTGATTAAAAGATTTCGATTAAAAGAATTTGATGAAATATATTATATTTATTTTTATAAAATAAGAAAAAATTAAAATCTAATATAAAATAATATAGATTAAATAAATATTATCTAATATTGATCCAAGTTTATTTTTTTTATTTCAAATTCTAGATGAATAATAGAATGAATAACAATTATATAAATGTGATGTTTAAAACTAAACAGAAAGCATTTTTATCATTTGAAACAGCAAAAATACGTTTTATTTTTGTTTGCTTTGAGTAAATTTAATCTTTGAGCTTAATAGATACATTAAAAGATTCACTACGAGAATTTAAATATGAATACAATGTTTGAAAGTATACAAAAATAAAGAATATATAATTTTTTTTATATTGTAAAAATAAATAAAAATATTTTTTTAAATTCTCATTGAAATTTTATGTTAGTAATGAAAAAAAAACTAAGGAAGATATTTTTAAAATTAATTAAACTGCATAATTATTGAATATATATGTATATATATATATATATATAGAAATATTATTTATATAATCTAATATTGTTTCTTCGAATTCTTGTTTGGGACAATTTCTTGTAAATTTAAACAATTTATTAGAAAAGATAATATTTTTGATAATATTCTTTAAATAACAAGATATGTTTTATTTTAGAAAGAATATAGAATATTAAATAAAGAAATAAATAACTGGCTATTAATTTTACAGAATATATAATAATAATATAGAATAATAGAATAAAATATAAAACATATTTTAAATATGTTTATTATCTTATAAAATAATATATAATAAAAATAATAATTGATCAAAAGATTTCTATTAATATTATATTAAATTTTCACTGTAATTTACTTAACAAAAAAATTAAAAATTGAAAAAAGAAAATAATTCCTATATCGTTAATATTTAAGTAAACTAGAAAAAAAAATATTAGCTGTTTTAAAAATACAAAACAAAATATTATAATGTATAATATTCTTGTTTTTTTAAAATTCATGTTCCTGTTATGATTTTTTATAAAAATAAGAATACACAAAATGTACAAGAATATATAGCAATTTATTGTAAAAAGACGAAATTGCGTAATTTTCATTTTATAAATTGTAGATAACATATTTTTAAAGAAACATTGTTAAAAATAATTTAATTTGATACTAGATCACTTTTCAGAAACGTACAAGAGAGGTAGGAAGCACATATATAGAAGAGAGTAATTGGAAACAAAAGATGGCTAGAATAACGTTATCTGATATTTTGTTAGCTATACAATGGTTACAAAAAATATTTGTATTCTTGTTTTTCAATTAAGTATCTTTTTATTATATTTCACTTTCATTTTTTTATAATCGTGATCAAATATTATATAATAAATGATATTAAAATATAACATACTTGAATCTAATTAATTGGTAAGTATAGTATAAATATAGTAATGAAAGTATCTTAATAATGTTTTTGTAACTAAATATGTAAACAAAAAGATACATGTTTTGTAATGTATATAAATGAAAAGATATACATTTCAATGAAACGACAAATATAATTTACTATATTAAGTCATGCAAATTGTTAGATTCTATCTATAAAGTAAGTTTATTATAAAAATTTAAAAGTTAAATTTTAAAGGAAAAAATAAAAATTTTTTATCTAACTAAAGAATTAAAAAATTGAATTCTATCACATTTATATTATATATATATTATTTCAAAAATCACTATAATTTAACAATTCAATTGATACAAGATATTACTTTTTACATATTTCAAATCAAAGTGTAATCTTTATTTCCTTTCTTTTTTTCTGTAACTAATTTCCTTTTATTTTCACACAAAAATTGAATAACTTTTATGCAAATTCGTTTTAAAATTAAAAAATTGTTTTTTGAATATTACAGTACAAAGTTTACCAAATCAATGTGTGAATACTAGTACCTATTAATTTCTCTGTTCCTTTTGCAGGTTGATCGTTTGTCATTGTCAGACGATACTATTAAACCAGGTGCCGCTATGTATCGTTTGATCACGAAAATTATTGCGGCTGCATGTGGAATTGTCACGGTACAAGTAACCCTTGTGAAAGGGCATCTTTTGTCGTGACAATACCACGGCATACTCTCAACGTTTGGATCCTTCTATGCGTACATATTGTCGATCAAAAATAAGTCATTTCTGACGAGGAAAGTGGCAATCATGTGGTATTAGCAGCAATAAAGGAATGATAGAGGCAATTGGACTATAGCAATTCGTGGAAATGATCTATCGTCTGACTGCACGATTCGATTAGATACTAGATATGACTAGAAATAGTTTAAATTATGTTTCCAAACGTATATTACAGAATTTATACAAATTAATACAAATATTATTATGTCAACAAATAAAAATAATTAAAATTATATATAAAAAAAATTTGAAAATAACAACATTTCTTTTTATTAAGTGAAAAATATCCTGAGAAACATTGCTAATTTCGATTGATTGCTTGATTAAATGTTCAAATTATTATTAATAATTATAATTTTCATTTTTTTAGAAAGACATGCCTAGATTCATTTTAATAAATAAATAAAATGGAACATTAGAATTATAAATAATAACTCTTAATAATAATGCTTTTTCTCATATTTTAACTTAAAAACAAAAAGAAATCTTCAATGATCTTGTAAAAATATAAAATATATAAAAAATCAATATAGAAATTCAATGTAAAAATTTGTATTTCCATTAATTAAATTAATTAAGTTGAATGTATTAAAATTATATCATGTAAATAAATTATTTCATTTAATAAAATATAATATAATTCGTGTCTTTTATATTCATTCATAATATTCTTAATAAGCAATAATAGATAAGCAAATAAATACATTAGATTAATTTTTTTTAATGATTTGAAAGATTTTTATAATTTAATAAATAACTAAATTATATGTTTTTTACATGTTATTTTGTTTCAACACAATATTAAAAGATTTATTAAATTTAATTTATATTATATAATTAAATTTATTATTAAATTTAAAGATTAATTAAATATTAAAAATAACGAACAAATTAAGAAATAGATAATCTTCGATGTTAGATTCAAAATAGAATTAAATACCATATAACACTGCATTTCACAGAAAAAGATAGACATATTATTTATATATGTGTTTTATATTGATAATATATTAATAATACAAATTATGAATATATTGAATATTTTGTATTAAATTCTATTAAATCAAATCTTTCATATCATCAATTTAATTCTTTAATTCTTTCTTCTTCTAAGACTTTAATTATTCTTCTATGAAAATGAGATTTAAGAAAAACTTTGTTTTTTTTTGGATATGTTCGTCGAACACAGAACTCTCTGTATTGCTATTTTGTTTGTCGCGCTCCTTAAACTAAAATGTGTATAGTTTTTAAATAATTTGAAGAATGAGCGTTTCATTTCGTTTCACAACACATGAACAACAAGGAACGTTATCGAAGAAACGTGGCAGTCATCCAACTTGGCAGAAACTCGGTGTACTCGTTAATTACGATAACGAGCGGCGCGCAAATCCTTGATTATCGCTGACGCTAAGTGTTCCGTGGATCGCGTCGAGTCTAACTGTATCATACTAAACACCCATTTACATGTTGTCGAGTCCTTTTCTCGAGATTTTGGCTGACTCATTTATATCCGATCTTCCTTCTGCACGAAACAAAAGAAAAATCTTTCTCGTGAATCCGTGCAGCCCGTATCACGGTAAACTGTCGGCTAGATATAGCCCTAGAATAAAGAATCACCACTGAAAAAACAGTTTCACTCACGTCGTTACGACAAATTCGGAACATCTACGGATATCAAAAGGGTGACGACGGCTAGCGGCAGGTTTCGAGTACACGTGTCGCTATATATTTACTATTGCGGCATTTGGAAGCAATTCACGTCAACTAAAATGATCAATAGATTCATAAAGATCATAAGAAGTCAGAAATCAGTCACCAAATGCTCCCCAATTATTCGAGATTTGATTAGGTAGGAAAATCACTTTGATAATCGCTGGTTCGTCTGTTTTCTCTGATCAATTTTTAGAAGCAAGATTCAAGGTGATATATGTATATATATATAAGTTATTATATATTCAAGGTTGAAGATGGTTGGTGCTAATAAAGACAACACTTCTTTCTTCGCTCTTGCTCGCTTCTTTCCAATATTCCCTTTGATTACGAAAAACGGCATTCGCTCACGTTCTTACTGAAAGAGTCCGTGATCGACCAGTCACCTTGCAAATGAACCGGCGTGCAGAAGCAACAGGAGCAAAGCGAGCGTTCTCGTTGCCGCACCGCTATTACTCGAGTTTCCGTGTTGCATGGCTGCTGGATGTTCTCCTGTAACAAGCAATAAGCCGGATTTTAAGTTATCTTACAAATTATATCGAAGACAAAAGTTTTATTTATCCTATCCAAGTTTTTCTTGAAAGTTAATCAATCGTCTTCTTGGAGCTTGTAAATAATTCATTGTGGCGTGATTGCGAAATAATGTTATTCTTTAACTCGATATTCTCGATATTCTCGATGGAAATAAAAAAATAAGAAAATTATAAAAAAGTTGTAATGGAAAAAGAATTTTTCTCCATGAAATTTTTTCTTCCAGATAACTTAAATTAAAATATTATTATTAGAAGATAAGACAATTTTTTTATTTATTGTGCTATTATGTCAGTTTAATTAAAAAAGAAATTGTCAGAAAATCCAATTTTATATCTTGTGCTTTTTATCGTTCGATTAATCGAAAAATTTAATAATTATAGTTAATATAGGAATTTGTATATATCGATTTAAAATAAAAAATAAAAGAAAAAAGGAATATTGAAAAATTAAAAACAAAAAAAAAAACTAAACGAGAAAAATATAAAAGATGCTGAAGATTTCCATTTTTAGCTCGTATATGTTGCCGACGACATATTAAGCAAAACAAAGGAAGAGTAATAAATAGTTGGAAGAAAAAGTACCTACATGTATCATGACATTTTATGCATATTTTATGCTATAGTTTATATAAGAGTTTCATTAAACAGAACTGCGTTGCGTTCTCGATCCACTATGATGGGTGGATCTCATCGGGTCTTGCGTTTATATGTCTTTGGGTTTATACTTGGAACTGCCTGAGGCGACATCGGAATATTTCTGTCACGCGTATATTCTTGCCTGCTAAATGTGCCAGGATAGCAGAGAATGCCGAGAAAATCGGCTACCAGAGGGTAAGCCGACTGAATTGTTCGAGAATATATAGAAATATAGAGGCTTATACCATACGCTGTGTTGCGCAATGTAGAACAGGGTTCACAAACGCGTTATCAATTTGAGAACGGCTACGTTCCACTTTACGATGTTTCAGACAACTTTTTGACCAAATAGTTGGAGAAACGTGTTGTTATCCCGCGCACCAACTAGTGGGAATTGAATATAACACCGTGTGTATATTGAATGTGTGCGTTGCTTCGAATCGAATTTTCGAGGTTCCGATTGAAAGTTACGTGGCTGCGTATTGTCGAGGAAATTCCTCCCCATCACTGGCAACGTAAACGTATGGTTAGTTGCGTTTTCATTCGGCAATAGTTTTATATCGCGGTTTCGAGATGAAACATGGTAACGATTAACAAACATTTTTTCAATTATTATCAAATCAATTTATTAGTTATATTTATTTTTATGTGTATTTTAATTTTTATGTATTATTTTATGTTTATTATTGGAACAATTTTAGATAATTATTATTTATTTATTTACAAAATTATTATTCATATTATTTAAATTTATATTACAAAAAGGTCATCTGATTTTAATGACTTTTTAATGTTATCATCTTGAGTTATGAAGATTTTATTTAGCAGTCGTTATTCATTAAAAAATTATCAACAAAAACTGTTTTTTTAAAACAAATTAGATCACGTTAATTTTAATCAAGTTTATTGTTAAATAATTAATAGCTAATTTTTCGGTGGCTAGATTAAGAAAACTAATCGACTAATAATGAATTAAGTTCGTTTAATTTTGATTTGAGATGAAATTTAGAATTAACATAAATTAATTGACGACAAAAAAAATTTATTAATTTTTAACTTTATGATTTATATTTAGTTTAGGTTAAATTAGGTTAAATAATCTTTTAACGACTTAATCTGTTCTAAATTATTTTTGATAACATAAAAAGTCATCAAAAAGAAGTCGAAGCATAATATAAATATTTATTTAATTTTATTGATGAGATTGATTCTATTTTAATATCTTTAAAGTATAAATAAACATTATTATATATTTATATATTTATATATTATATTTATATAATATTTCTATTTTAATATCTTTAAAGTATAAATAAACATTATTATATATTTATATAATATTATAATAATATAATATTATATTATTAAATTAAATAATTATTTAAAGTTTCTTATATCTTTTTAATTTTTCTTTCAAAATTGCTTTTATTCAATGTAAATTTGTTCTTAAAATTAACACACATACACATATAGTATATATTCCTTTGCGCTCCAATGGTAACTCTCAGGCATCACTTAATTTGATAGATAATTCCAGAGATGACTCTTCGATACTATTTGGATTGCGGCAATTCGTATATTGCGGCGACAATATTTATTTATGTTTGATATTTCTAAAATATCGTTTCATACATAGATTCCTAAGCTCTTTGCATATTATCTTATAAAGTGTAGAATATAAAATGTATAAAATATAAAATGGTTAGATTTTTTTATCTTATATTAGATCGTGATCGCGCGAATCGAACTATATTTTCGGCGTTAATCCGAGTTTATAGCCAATGGCTATAAAATAGGCTGGCAATAGAAATATTTTCAAAATTTTTGAATTTTGCATGGAATACGGTAATGAAATTAGTTCAAGTGAAGATGAGTTTGATTTTTCGTTATTAAATAACGAAATTATTTCTATTCATTAAGAAATTGACGATAAAGAGAAGGAAAATAATGATGAAAATAGAGATATATTATAATAAAGTGAAAAATAAGAAAAATAAGAGACAGAAAGATGAAAGACATTAAACGATATTTTATTATGATACTTGTTTTGACAAATCGAGGATGCATCTTGATAATTGCTTTATTATTAAAATATCACAGGAAACAACAATATAGATTTATTTAATATTCAACAAATTTTCTTTCTTTATATGTAAAGATACAAAAAATATTAAAACATAAAAGTTTTATATCTTAATTTGTATGATCTGTAAAATCATTTTAAGTTAGCTAAGAAATTCACCGAACGGGTGCGAGAAATCGTTTAAAGTTGTTGGTTCGGCCGAGTGGAAAAGATCTAAGCGCAAAAGCGCAATATATATATATACAATAAATAGCAATAGTCACAATATTTCAGAATTATCAGATTGGCTTTCCCTTAAAATTCTTTATTTTAATATAATTCTTTGATATGAATATACATTTACATAATGTACATTTATATGCTTGATCAATTAAAAAAAAGTATTTATTTAATAATTTTGAATTCGAAATTATATATAAAATTCTGGAATTTTTTAAAAAAATATTTATATGAAAACTTAAATCAGCATTATTTATATAATCAATATTATAATTATTAACATATGAAAGCAACTTAATAGCATTTCTGACAATATTTATATAATTGCTATGCTCATTTATTTCTGTAATTTAATTTGCTAATGTACATTTTCTGTTGAAATGATTTTCTGATGCTGAAAATTATCGCAATAACCAATGGAAATATATGAAATACAAAGCATTTTAATTGAGTTATTAACATTACCGTATATTATTAAAAGCGTAACTAATTTATCACATTAATTATAACAAATTAATAAAATGATATAACTCAAATCTTGAATCAAAAATAAATCAGTATAATATAGATAATAGATGAAAAGTTGATATTGACATCCTCTACTAATAATTTAGCTTTTTTCATTTTTATATCTATTTTCATGTTTATATTAAGCAAAGGTTAATTATCGTTAATAATAAACATAAAATAATTTGCAAACCAAAAAATTTTTGTTCTATTTAAAAATGAATATCCATTCTGTGTAAGTTAAAAAAAAAGTTAAAAAGCTCCTTTTAGAATATATTTCATGAAATGTTTATAGAAATGATATTTTACAAGTAAATTTTTTATATTTTCAAGTAAAAGTTTAGCTCATAAGTAATATGACCACTGGAGATTATATAAAAAAGTTAAGAATGTTGTTAAATGATGTGAACACACAAGAATCAGAAATTAATAAAGAATAACTTTTTAAAGTTCATCTTTTAATATTTTAGACGAGATTAAAACTTTTACAATGTGCATGTTATATTACAGATATTTTGAATTATGGATTTATAGCGAATTATGCATATGTAACGAATGCATATTGTGTAAAAAAGAAAATTAACCATCTAATTTTCGTTTATAAATAAAAAAATGTTATCAAAAAAATTATTTGTTATAATTTTTATTAATCCATATTATTTTTACTTTTGTAAAAATTTTTAAAAAAATTTACTTTCATATTGTATATTAAATTTGAAATAAATTTAATTTAATTTTCTTTCTTTTTGTTAAATATAATCTTATTATTTTAAGTACAATTTTACATTTAAGCAAAAACGGTTTAAATTATGAAATAGATTTTAAAAAAAATTATCAACAGAGAATGAAAACAATATATAGTGAAAAGTATAAATGAAATAATATTTAATGAAAAATTGTCGATATTTTAAATTATTATAAAATTTGTAAACAGAAAAAATTTTATATAAAACTTTATAAAAAGAAAAAAATATATAATAATAAACTTATTTTAATTAAAGAATTAAATTTTTGATTTCACAATCCTGAATTTGCTTTTTTTAAAAATGATTTTATATCATATAACAAATAAAAGAGTAAAGATACTTCTTAAAAATATGAAAAATTGGGACTGAAGATACTAAAAAACTTTTTCATGAATAAATTCACAATAAAAATAAAGTTAAAAATTAAAGTTTGTTTTAGAATAACTTTCTGAAACTTGCTATAAAATTTTTTTCACCAAGATATCGAATATTAAGCCGAAAATTCAGAAAACACTAAATTTTTATCATTTCTAAAACTATATTTAAAACTATATACAAACTATATACAATATTTTTTGATGAAATTATTATTATTGATGAAAATATTATTTGATGAAAAAATGTTTTTTAAGAATCATTATGAAAATTACGGGAAATTGCAGTTTTTAAATTAGATTCAATTATAAACAATTTTTTGTCTTTACAGTGTTTTTACGGTGCCTTTATAATCGATTGAATTTTTCAAATTTTTAAAAAAAAAAATATTTT